CTGCAGTGGGTCCGTTTTCGCACCCAGACACTAGATTTGAACATATACACATCGATATTGTAGGACCACTATCCGTTTCAAATGGATACAACTATATCTTTACATGCATCGACAGGTTTACACGATGGCCGGTAGCAGTACCGATAAAAGACACCTCAGCTGAAACGGTAGCCAAAACCCTAATTGAAAATTGGATTTCTTACTACGGCGTGCCAACAATTATCACAACTGATAGAGGAGCACAATTCGAAAGTCGACTCTTTCAACAGCTCACAGAACTCCTCGGTATTAAACGAATTCGAACGACATCGTACCATCCAATGGCAAACGGAATGGTCGAACGCCTACATAGGCAATTAAAAGCGTCCCTTACAGCCGTCATTGTTAACAACGATTGGTCTAATAAACTTCCTTTAGTAATGTTGGCTCTAAGAGCAACAATTAAGCAAGACATGGGATGTTGTCCAGCCTGGTTGGTATACGGAACTACCCTACGGTTACCCTGAGAATTTTTCACTCCAAGTAAAGGTGCTCCGACTGATGTAACCGGCTATGTGCAACGCCTGAGAAAGCACATGAGCGACTTAAAAATAACACCTTCCAGACCACAACAACGACGAGTATTCATACCACAAGAACTGCATAACAGCACTCACGTGTTCATTAGAAGAGATAAATTACAACCACCTCTACAACCGAATTACGACGGACCATTTAAAGTGAAAATTGATTTTACACCCTCCAACATCAAGCAGGCCATAGCTGCCCTGAAAAAGTCTTATGATGGTGGACCTGACGGGATACCTTCATCATTTGTGAAATATGGAAGTAGGGAATTTCCACTATTTTGTTTGAAACTTTTCAATCTATCTATGGAATATGGGACCTATCCATCTGTATGGAAAACATCCCTTATCACCCCTAGATTCAAAACAGGACCACGTAGTGATATTATTAACTATAGGCCAATTAATTTGACATCCGTGCTCTCAAGAACCATGGAAAAAATCATCCACAAACAGCTACTATCATTTTTACTTTCGGCTAGTCTGATCAGCCCATCCCAACACGGGTTTATGACTAAACGCTCATGTTTCACATCGCACCTGGAGTTTTTTGATCAAATTACCCAGAAAAGAGATGTTGGTCAGTCAGTGATAATTCTTTACTTCGATTTTAGTAAGGCTTTCGACAGTGTCTCACACAAACTTCTTCTTTTAAAACTCTCTTCATTTGGCATACAGAATCCCCTTTTATCTTGGCTCAAATCTTTTTTAGAAGAACGTAACCAAATCGTTCGCTTTGGATCATGCTACTCTAAACCTGTGAATGTAACCAGTGGGGTTATACAAGGAAGTGTGGTTGGTCCATTACTCTTTCTCCTTTTTATCAATGATGTGTGTTCCCTCTTTCAGTATGGTAAGCCTTTTCTTTTTGCTGATGACCTGAAAGTAGTTTATTCGTTCTCTTCTCCCATGAAAGAAAGCTATATTTCAGCGGTAATCCAAGAGGAAATAAACAAGTTGTACGAATGGACTATTTCGTGGAATATGCCACTTAATGTTGACAAAAGTGGATTTATTCACATTGGTCGCTGTCTTAACTTAAATCTGACTGTACAGACACATACACTCAAACCTCTTAACACTGTTCGTGACCTGGGTTTAAGATATAGCAACAGTCTGAACTTTTCTGAACACATTATATCTCAAGTATCCAAAGCTAGAAAGCTCATCGGATTGATAATGATAAACTTCAATAATATCGAATCGAGATTGTTACTATACAGAAAATGTATCTTACCCATTCTTGAATATGGTATTTTAGTTTACAGTAATTGTAGACATACTGATCTGATTAGAATTGAAGGTGTTCAAAGAAGGTTCACTAAAGCTGTTCTGCGGTATTCCGATAACAAAGACTATTACCAAAGATGTCAACAACTCAACTTAGAGCCTCTTTGGATCAGACGTATCAAATTAAATCTTGTCTTTATCTACCGGCTTATTAACGGTATTTCCTACTCTTCGGTATCCACCCCTTCATACCTTATGATATCATCCCACAATCTACGCAATAAGGAGAATATTCTAGCGATTCCAAGAACCCACACAAACTTACGTCAGAATTTTTTCCTTATTCGCTACTCAACCATGTGGAACAGACTGCCAGTGAACCTCCGTTGCAGTGAAACTACAACCCGGTTCAAAAGTCTCCTTGACGATTTTCTTTCCGAAAGTGGATTATGTCACCTATTGAATATCAATGTATTCAATAATGATTTATACAAACAAGGTCCGTCATCCATTTAATTGCTTGAAAAGCAAAATAAAACCTTTAAATCTTTCCACATCTATTTTATTTTATTTCTATTTATCTTAATATATGAAATCTGATTATGTTCGTGTTTATCATTATTTCCGTTATTAATATCATTATTAGTTCCCTGACACATTAGATATTCTTTTTGTATCTTCTTATCCTTCTAAACATATTTAACTCCAGATTGTCCTTTAAAATCAATTTTGACTTTCATAGCATCAATCTTAATTATTATTGCACAAATATTTATACTAATATCCGGTTTCACTCTGTATACTATTACATAAATCTAAATGTATTCATCCGAGTGCTTTAACGGATTTTTATTTTATTTTTGCAATTGCTGGTTTCCTTCTGAGGTTGATATTCATTACACAATTATTATTCTTATCATGGATCAAAACTTTTCACTAGGTGTTCACTTCTTTTCACTCCATTCTTTCCCTCTAAATAAATATTCTTAAGATTACGAAGTTTGTAATTAAAACAATAACTTGTGTTACACTTAAATTAAATTCTCAGACCCGTTTTATCTTCACTATGCATATATGACTCATACATATTGATATTTTATTATCCTTTTCACTTAATTGAGACTTTCATAGCATCACTCCAAACTATTGACTGCACAAACATTTATTCTAGCGTCATATCTTACTGCAATTATAAGTTATTTTTTCTTAATTATTTTTTGTTACTAATTTGACGATACACACATAGTCGTTTGTTCTTGTTTTATGTTCATAAACACGCCTATTAAACTGTTTGTGTACTTCACGTCTCCTTTATTTCTATTCCCTTATTTTCTGCATTTCCTTCTTTAGACTCAATTCAATATTCTTCTCAATTGCACAGACCCGATTTATTATTATTAATATTCTACTATTATTGCTCAAAATTTTTTTTTAAATGGCCAGTAGAATGCTGACATTATTGAAAATTGTGTATTATTGCATTTTTTTGAAGAAACCCGAAATGGTTTCTTCACAACACTTATGTACCCATAAGATGTTTGTGAATAATAATAATAATAATAATAATAATAATAAGAGGACAAATAAAACGGTTGCCATAGAGAAAGCTGGGAAGACAGATGTAATTAGCATCGATCGAGTAAAGCCAGCTTTTATCGATAGCGATATTCAATCGACAAGTACAGACTCATCTAAGATGGTCACACCAGCGAAACACGAGTCCCAAAATCACCAACGTTAACGCAACAAAAAGACAAGACTCCGATAACAACAAGATCTGGCCGCAGAGTAAGATGGCCCCAACAATATGTCGCTACGATTTTTTATTAATGATCTACTATTTTAAATATTAATTATAACTTCCACTTCATTGTATACACACGCATTATTAAGCTCATGTTATACGCTATAAAACTCAACGTATCTTATGTACCCCTACACTTATTTGTACAATTTTTGTTTAAAATGTAAAAAAATACCGCATTCCTTCTATTTCTTGCTATTATTTTATATAACCTCACGGACGGGCACAAACCAAATGTACAGCACACACTAACTTCATCTTAATTTTGCATAAGCCATTTTTTTCAAACGATTGTAACTACCCTATTCAGTTTTCTCCTTTTTGTGCAAACACAGACATTTTTCCATATATCTTTGTTTGCAGGGGGAGCTATTACAGCGACTCACGTGCAATTGAGTTTAGTTCAGTCAAGGTCTTTTGTTGACCTATTTAATGGACAAAGTCATCCATGATATAACAACTTGTTGTACTATCATTATTATTATGCTTGTATGAAATACATACGCTCGAACATTGTTTAGCGCCTACGCATGTATTCATTCTGCTAGCTTCACTATTAACTGCTTAATCTATTCGCTGACTCATCCATTTTCCTATATATATATATATGTGTACATTTGCACCCATTCACTACAACTACAACTACTGCTACTGCTACAATCGTAGTTTATTGCCCATTCATTTTGCCTCTCTGCTGTCTGGTCCGAATTACCTGCTAAATGAACTGTAGTAGCTGCTTCTTTTGCCTTCTGATTTCAAACATCGTTGAAGATTATACGATAACAGTTCGAGTGTGATCAGTTGTCGAAGCACAGCCACTACAAGTCACGCCAGGATGGGTTTCACTCTTACCATCAGATCTTGGTAGTGCAATTTGTGGCTCACAATTTGACTCCACCAGTGAGTTACCAGCTACCTGTGTACTGTTTACAGCTTTTTTCTTTTCGTTTCGTCTCCTATGTACCGTAGTACACTTTTCATCCCTCATAACACTGGGACTATTTGAACGGTGACTGTTTTATCCAGATCTTCGGTTCCCACTAAAGGTGGTACTACTCCCCTGTTAATGTCAACGGAGATTTCACTTTTAAGTCGGTCAGAGTCGGTTGTTTGGGGTGTCGCGTAACAGCAGTAACCACACTGACACATTCGTCACTGTCAGTGCCAGTGTCGTCAGCGCATATGCCATCGTTCTTCTTACAGGCTAAAAATAGTTAGTGAGAAGTTTGCATCTGACGTGCTACCACTTGCTCTGTCTTCCAAAACGGAGAATTTACGAAGACACTAAAAACGTATACTGGCCAAGAACGTTGTTTAGTTATTGAACATTTTGTGAGGGCATTGTAAATTTCTGATCAGGTGATTTTCAGAGGCTTTTTCGAAAAATTTTCTGTAATGTGATGCCACCTTGGGGACTGGCAAAAAAGCCTGTCAAGTTGTTCCTTAATTTCTCATTTGGACAGTTTCTTTCTCAGCCTTTGGAAGATGATCAAATTATAATAACTTCCAATGGCATTGGATGTAAAGATATATATTTCAACATTGATGTAAGATATTCTATAACTATGAGTATACTTTGTAGAAACTAAATGCATTGTTATCTGAAAGTGGAATACCTGTGGTTTTCTGTGTTGCCTATATTGCTGAAGTTGTCATTTCCCTTCCATGGAGTGTCGAAATCAAGGGGATCGATTTCGTTATTCAAGCATTATCAGAAGTTTCCTCACCATCTGGAAGTAAGTGGTGCTTATATAATACCTCAATGTCCCATGAAAAATCTCATCAACGATATTTCTCTGTCGTAATGATGATTTGTAAAGCTTGTCTTTTAGTAATATTGAGTGGCACGTAAAGTGTAACTTGATTAAACTAACTCCATTTTAACCACTGAGTACTTGTCTCAGGAATACTTTACATTCCGCTATCATAAGTCTTAACTTTATGGAAACAGACTGACTGATTCACTGAATAGTTCTGATTTGGTACAACTTGAAATTATGCAAGATTACCTTTCATTCTTGTGGAACCTAACCTAACCATTGTTTAGAAACAGTCACAATGTACTGTCCAAAGAATACCGCAATGTAGCGTTAAAAATTTAATTTACAAGTTTATTCTCAGTAGGTCTTGATGCTCACTCTCACTTCAAGAGTTACGTCTGATCTTGGCGACTAGAAGTAACCAGTAATTTCTCAAGTTTTGTGGAGAGGCTTTTATTTATAAGCAAACTAATCAAATTTATTTATTTATTTGAACACATAGATACTGGTGCAAAGGGGAGCTCTGATGAGACTCCAAACGCCCTGGTACTGTTGAGTGTCGTATGAGGAATAGTTATCGTTATGCTCAGCGTAGGACGTGACACGTATGTGCATAGTTCCGAATTTCTTCACCAAATTATCACATTAGGATGAAATTCTACAAGACGTCTCAGTGTTATAAAAGTAGTAACAGTATCAGTGATATTAGTAGAAAAACAAGATGAAGTATAGGAGAAAAAAGATATAGGGAGATTTTAGGACCCAATTTCTGGGGGTAAACAAGGAGTGAATGCACCTATTTCATTGCAAACGATTTTGAGCTATGTTATTCTCTGGCGGACGCTGCTCACAAGATTTTTTCTAAGTAGTATGTTCCGGAACGTGGTGTCGAATTTGAAACAGTTGTCAGATAGATAAAAGATCAGTTCAGCGAAGGCACAGTGTGGGCAGAAAACTTGAAGACCAGTTGAGAAGACTGTTCAGATTGTAGAACACATGGAAGATGGAAATGGAGACTATGTGTATGTATTGTGTTGATGCTTTAGAACTCCTCACAGTAAATATGGATTCCTTCTGGCTATTGCCTGCTTTTGCAACATCTGTGTTTCAATCGCTTCGCTCAATGTTTCCATTCACATATCTAAATGGATACTGCCTATTTGAGTTTCCCGATTTTCGACCAAAAAGAGCAATATTATCACTACGTTGTTGCAATTTTTCGTTCCTCGAGCAATTGTGCAATAAAATTTCGATCCTAATTGGCTCATTCTAGTGATCTGTTATCTGTATGTTTACAGATTTTATTTGGATTAATCATTTCTACTAGGTTTACAAACTTTCCAGCAATGCAAACCAAATATACAGTTAATAAATCGGTGGAAATAACAAATTCTTTCGGTGTTGGCGGTTTTTAATGTTAATTATGTCTCAAACCACTATGTTTTGCCACCTCAACACCTCTCTCTTCGACATAGATTTTAGTCATTTTGGCTTTTTCAGTGGCCAATAAACGGCAACAGTTAGAACTAATAACTGTCTAGCAATATGACAGGTTCGAAAAATTTTGTTTTCTGATTAATTAAATTGTTTTTCCAGGTTTACGGCTTTCTGTGGAGCGCATTATCTTATCTTGATAGCGTAATCCTTTTCTAAATACTACTGGTTTTTCCTAGGCTAAGGAACGTCCACACAAACATATAACACTATAGATACGCATAAGTAGTAAAACGTAACAAATGTGTATCACTCAAATAGGCTAAAATGAACTATAACGCAATGGAAAAAAGGAAAAAGTGAACAAAAAATGACTGTAGTAGTGAAAGCTAGAAAAATGAGAGAAACATTTGATGAAAAATATGGACAATACTATGTTTAAGGTTTCAAGGAAGATAAACGATGAGTTAATTCGCTCTGTTGTAACCAGTCTTTAGTCCTATAAAATTTCCAACCGTTGAGTACAGTTGCCCCCATTGTATCCAAACAGTTGGTCTTCGCCTTACTACACCCATCAGAGTTACTCTTCTTCAAAATAAACTCTTTTTTGTCTCTGTCTCCTGGAATTATTACTCTCCATCGCTTCAAATTAATTTCAACCTCCGTTAGTTTGCTAAAGGTTAGATTTTCAGTATCTTTCTCACTATTCTAATTATATAATTTACTAAACTACCTTTATGTACTCGGACAGTGTTAATTTCGGAATTGTTGTTTCAGCGTTTACACCATGGCATACGGTTAAATGTTAGATATGACACCTAAAATGTAGGCTGTACAAAGTACCACACTATATTCATGGCATTTAGTAAACAAGTCGATATACCTTCGTCAATGAGCCTGTTAATCAAGTTCAATAGTTTACAATCTTGTGATATTGATAATTTGTTACTTTTTTATTTCAGCAGATGAACTATTCAATTCAATGATATCTAGTGTATCAACCGCAGCTTTTGCTGTAGCCAAAGCTGCAAAGGATTCTACAATCCCTGACAATTTTTTCGAGGAAACATTTACTCGTACATCAGACGATGTTGATCTTAATGATAAAGAAAAAATTCCAAAAAGTTTACAAGAGCAAGCTTATCAATTTTTCGAAAATCTTACAGCTGCTGCCGAAACTATGAATGTTGGTACAAAAGGTGCAAGCTCTTACGTTGATCAGGACAGTAAACAAAGAATTGCTCATATGATCGATTCATGTAAGTATAACTATTAACCTTGAATGAATGATCTTTATGCTTGATTATGATTTAAAAGTAACTATACTGAAACCATATTTAATTGTCTCCTAGAATAATTTTTGTTTTTATCAAGTTACATTGCCACTGAAATTATTTTTGCAAACGCTCAGTGATATTAATATGTTCTTATGACTCATATTGTTGAAACTGTCAGTAACATAAACCACGTAGCGTATAACTTTGGCTAATTTACCAAGCTTTGAAAACATCTCATAGAATAATAGAGGACCACTGTACTCAAATTAAATAAGCTTTCGGGTGTTTTAATATTCATTCTCAATTGACAAAGTAGTTCGATAAACGTCTGATAATTTTATTGAATGGTATTACAAAACGAAATTATTAGCTAAAATTTAACGTCTTTCGACCAATTACAATTTCCCAGACTAGAAAGTTTGGGACATAGTTAACAAATATAGCGTCAAGTATAAGCTATATTTGAAATGTATGCCAATCTTGTCTCCGTTTACAAGCTTTTATTTAAACACAATATGGTGCATATGACAAAATCAGCTTGGCAACGAGGGCTTACCTAACGTTTTACTATGTTAGTGTGAATCAGCAGTCCTTTCATTTTTAAACTTGCTCATCGATAGAATTTCACTCTGCATATGCTTTGATTTGAATATTTATCACATAACTAGTTTTATTTTAGGTATGGTGAATAAGGATTCCATGTGCTAAGTTCTTTAATTTTACCATACACGCAACTTCTTCATCATGCTTTTTAAATAGTAATATCACATTACTTCTGTTATTTCGCTACTACATTACAGTTCTCCCGTTTCAAACTGTTCATTAAAAATAAGAATTCAGCAAAGTAAATTTTCTTTTTGACGAAATCATTTACTCAAGCTGCATGTTCTTATTTATAGTTGTATGGTAAATATATGTCTATAGAAGGATGGAAAAGATTGCATCATAAATTAATAAATACGAATGTACAGACTAAGTAAATGATCTCATCTAAAAGAAAATCTTATTCGCTGAATTCTCTTTATTTTGATTCAATAACACAATGAGATATTTTAAGTCATTATTATTATCAAGTATTTAATGTATGTATTCATCAATGTTGGAGTACTATTTATTTATTTGAACACATAAATATTGGTATAAATGGGTACGGAATACATATGCTTCACACAAGTCACTTTATTTATGTGTGGGCTGTGATACTCCCCAAGTGTCTAGACCGAAGCAGGTGGTTTTCTTAGGTGGCCACACCAAGAGTTTGACCTTAATGTCTGACCCACGTGGCAGTGGAGCAACGTTAGGAGATGCACTCCCATGGTAGCCTGTGACCAACAATTTTTCATACGCCATTTGTTCCTTCAGGATCATGGAGCATCATTGGTTTGAAATCAGGGTTTTCCGAAACCTTTAGGTGGGTCCTCCATATCCACCAACCCGGTTAAAGCTCCGGACATTCGCTTTTCGTCCTCTCATTTTCGTAAACAACAGTGATGCCGCGAGAAAGCAGTGAGTAGGACTTCCCTGGGAGTGGCTGCGCACGCGTGTCCATGTGAGGGCATTTCGAGAGAGAGAGAGATGACTCTCCCCACCTTCGGCCGTACCAGGGCACTTGGGGGCTATTAATACTAAGCTGAATCCTCAAATAGTACAACACTCATGCATTCACCTTTGTGAAACATTCTTTCGAACCAACAGTTGAATGTTTTTTTCGTTTTTTTGGTAACATCACGTATGTTATCGATCGCTGCGAACTGGGCATCACATCTTAATAGCATCAATATAAAACTCTCATAATTCTTCATTAGGCTTTATAAACCGCAAAATTATGTAAACTTATAACTTCCTTTTCATAATTCAACAAGAATATCGGTGTTTCATCTAATAAATCACTGGTAATAGAAAAATTGATCATGTTACTTTTTATATTTTATAAAACTATTTCATTTGCTTACCAACATTTTTTATCCATAGTACTGGTAAAACGTACTGACCACTTGATTAATATGCTGTACGTGTATCACTAACATTCTTCATTATTATTTTAATGGAACATTATACTAGTGTTGTTTTTCTTTTCTACACTACACTTTTTAGTGATTGCACAAACCACTATAATTCTACGCGATGTTAGTATTCGTATTGAATGTGAATTAAGACTTCCTGGAATAGATCGTGCCTCAGGATTAACCTTAACCATTAAACATTTATCTATTTCAAATCAATATAAGACTGAAGAAAAACAACAATCAACTCCATCGAATACATCCAGCAGTGGTCGTTGGTCATGGTTATGGTGGTGGCAAAGTTCAAACAACAATAACGTCCGTAAGATTTTAAAACTTCTACCTTTTTATTGTATTTATACTGTAAATTTGGTATGAATATTTTATTAATTGGGATAGCATTTTGATTTATATGATAAAGACTAGTGTAGTTACTATCGCATATGATTTAAGTCTAAACGGTTATTTAGCACACCATTTCAGAATGTTGTGTTTTCTCTCCAATTTCCTCTTTTGTTGAGTTATTTTGAAATCTGGTAAATAGAAAACGATTTATTATGAAAGAAAATGCAGGCTACTTTATACAGTTTTTTTATAGTTTTCATCTGCATCGTGATATGCTTTCTATACATTTGTTGAATAATGCCGAATTCTGAGATTAATTGGATACTAAGATACATTTTTTTACAATATCACTTGTTGTTTAGATCAATCGGTTCAAAGGATAATTGGAAACTGATTTTAAATAAGAATTTCAAACTAATTATCGACTCATATCGTTTTTATAATAATTAGTATTATTGTTATTATCATTATAATTTTCATTATTGAGTATTTCTCTATTGCGAACAGATTGACCATTGAACTATATACTCTCTAAATAGCCTAATCTAAAAATATATATGATATTTTTGTAAAATCGAAGAAATCAGTTTATTCTACTCATAAATATCAGTAGATAGTTATGTGTCAGAATAAAAAAATAACCTATGATATATCGATGACTGCGAATGTTTTCAATTGTGATATTTGATAAATTTTAATGGAAAACCAATATCTTATTAGTTTGATGATATTGTTTTGAATTTTCACACTTTAATATTTCTAGTTTTTCTGTAACTGTGACATTCAATAAGACTATTTAAATGATTGTTTTAATGATTTCAACTACTGGACCCTAACATTTGTTCAGTAAATATTTGAGTAATCATCAAAATGGATAATGATATCAACACTTACTTTAACCCCAACTTATGTTATTATCCTTTCATCAAGTCATTGACTGCTGGATTGGCCCGCGTCAGCAGATAAGGTGTACCAGGTTAGATTCTTCACAATCATCCTATGCAGTAGTTGGAGACGTTGAATGACTTGTCGAAATCGGTCTTGATGGTTCAGAAGTATTTACTCTTTGTCGTCCCTTAGATCTTGAGTTTTAAAATTATCTAGTACTTTTTACTCCAGTAATTCATTCTTTCCTTCTGAAAGTCATACTGTCTATCATTAGTATTTTCTAATATTGCTCCTGCTTCTACTACTCTGGGGTTTATCCTAATAATTTCATCTCGCTATGTTGACCTAACATGGCTACTTAAAACGATTCGTATATGTGGCAGATTCTACGTTGCTTATGACCGTCTGTTATTATTCCCTCCTAGTACTGCCGGTGCTTTCTTTTTTTTTGATAAAAGTCAGAAGTACATTTTATGCAGTTGAAGACAAAATTAGATAGATTGTGGATACAACTACGGTGTTGCTGTTTTTTTATTTTGCTCAACTTAGTTCTAATTACCAGATCTTCGCTATTGGAAATTTGTCTATATCTTACTTAGATGTTCATTTTAAACGATATGTTAGCAGCACCCAAGTAAGTATATTTCATATTAAGGACCAACCTTAGTTAGACAACCATTGAAAACTAGGGGACACTAGACAGCTATTTCGTCTCAGTATGGTACTCCTCGGCGGCGCACATCCACGACGGCACCAGGGCTTAAGCCCTGGTGAGCGCCCAACCTTTAGATTCTTGAGGTGATTGAACATATATTTTTCTAGCAGTCTTTTTTCTTTCCAGCTACCGGAAATAGCTCAGTATCATCATCGTCATCTACTAATTCTACCTCTACACCAGCCGGAAGTTTATCAACCATGTTGCATAAAATTATCCACTTGGAAGAGGCTGATTTATTCTGGGATTTATGGAGTACTTCTGGTCATGTGCAAGGTTGTTCAAGCTTGTGTAGTTCACTAGATCCAAGCCAACCTCCATGCTCTCCACTTCCTAACAAGGTGAATATAGTGTAAAAAGTTACTGCTTTATAAACAAACCTTGAGACTAGATTTTTTTACTATCCCCATTTGTTTTTTTATCTAATATATTAAGTCACACTAAATATTGTCGAATTACATCATTTTTCTCAGGATCATGATTACTTTTGATGAAAATACTATCAATACTAACTAACTGATGTAAGATTTTGTCCAAAGTGACTAGTAAGTTTAATAATTTCTCAAACCTTTTCGCATGATCATCTCAACCAGCCGTTAGAGACTGTGAATGACACGGCTCAAAATCGTTTTCAATGGCGCAGATTCATCCATTCTTTGTCTTGCCTTATACTCTAAGCTTCTGAATTCCTCATAATTATCTTATTTCACCAATTTATATTTTCCATTAGTACTGTTCCCAGCTCTACTACTATGGTACTTAACCTAACAACTTCATCTCACCATGCTAACGGGTTGTGGCAATTTGAGCCGATGTACATACATATCAAATTCTGCGTTGAAACTAGCTGGCTGATCGTTTTGAGGCAGATTTTTTGTTTAAAGGCAGCCCAGGTCGAATTAGATTAAGCAAAGTTTGAATCTGTAACGTAATAATTGACTAGCCAGTGCTTTGATCAGTAAGTCATCTTTCCAGTTTGAAAACAGTGGATACCAACTACTGTCAGTTTTCTGAAAAAATGTCAGATTGATTTCCTTCTCATACCATGGTTGTCAAACAGTTTTCTTGAGGCTTTTATTTTTCTAGATCAATAATTTGAACATTGTTAAACCATAGTTTTACACCATTACTCGTTTATGAAACTAAAAACATCGCTACCTCCCTACTTTCTCATATTTAACGTTTACATATATTTCGTTATTTGATTATTGGATGACTATTTATTTACTCGTTTCGTGCAACATCAAGTACTTCAAACAGTTGTTCTGAAATCGCGATTCTTACCTAAACTTTCTAACTTCAATGGGTGTATGGTGATATGGATCTAGTAGTAAATTGATATGCCTAATATTATATATGTATACCACATATAGAATTAATGATATTGCAAAATATCTTTTCTATTTTTACGTGGCTAATTATCTTGGTTTGTTGAATTGGTTTCGTTAAAATGACAAAAAATCGATTAAGATATCTAATAACATCGACTATTGTGTATTTCATGTGATTGCTTTCAACGTTTTGCATAAAATACTGTTTATATTTTATTCTTTATGTATTTACAGACATGTGGTCCAACAGCTGATACACTTGTCTCATCAGCTAAACTTCTAACATTATCTGGTTCAGAGCATACAGCGCGATTGAGTTTACGTGTTGGTTCCGCATTGAAGGTGTCACACAGCCCTACACCTTCAAATATACAATCAGATGATCTACCACGAACGATTAATACTACTACTAGCAACTCTAACACCAACTTGGTTAATATGTCAGACTTTCAGTTACGTTTACATGTGGACTTGGGACCTATTGTTGCTTGTGCTTATCCTAGTCAATTTTACTGGTTACACATGATGATTGGTCAACTTGTACATATTTATGACGATTATATAGAACATAGTAAAAAGATATCAGAACAAACTAAACTAGAAAATGATATGACATATTACTATTCTGATTTGTTAACAAATAATAATTTATCAAATGTAATGGATGAGAATGGTTGTATCAGTGTGGCTACATCAACTTTGGTAAGTTTTACTTGTCACTCCCTCCAGCTTATTTTAATAAATTAGTTCCTGGTAGATTGTTTCTCCTACTTCCATCGAAAATGAATCCAAACTAAATGATTGAATACTCACTGTTTGATCTCTTGTTTTGTCATTTGAGGTGTCTAACTTACAATACCACACAAGAGTAAAATGGTCATTAGAACTATTTCATCATGACTCGGTCAAGTATAGCTTATAAGATGTATTTCGAAACGTATGGATATGTTATGAATTCAGTAGACCAAACTATTTTGTATCTGGACGTAAAATCGTTATTTATAAATAAGCCGATTAATATAAATAATTGATTCTATATGCGTACAACTATTGGAAAAAGGATTTGCGAACACTAGTAAGTAAAGTGAGAAAACTTATGCTGGAATGCATGATAAGCATCCAATTTGTGTTTAGTAATGAACTTTATAGACAGACAGATTAAGGTATCCTCTCGTTATGATTTTAGCTTATATCTTGCTAATTAAATTGGAAAATGAATAACTGCATGGCAAACTGCATAAGTTTGAATTATTACTACCATCACATAGATGCCATACTAATTCTGTGCAACAAGTGTCGTAAATAAGAACTTTTGAACACTTAACAATCGTCATCTCACCATTAAATGTACCATCGAAAAAGAACATGTAAACTGTATAGCTTTCTAAATGTTTTTTTCAAAAAGATGAATGGGTTCGTAAGAAGGAATATATTTAGAAAGAATACATGAATTGGGCGTTATGCCGATTTTCTTACCTTCAAACCTTTACAGTTCAGAAAAAATATGGTTAAATGTCTCAACCACAGAGTGAAATTATTCGGTTCCGAGGGTAGTGTAGATGCAAAAATACGGAACTCCAGAAACTGTTAAATAACAGTTTTCTTGTCGATTTCATCAAAAAATAAAAGTCCGTACCGAAAAGTAGAATAAAAACAGTTATGATGAGTAAGAGAGCCTCTAATCTAGAGGACGATTTTAAATGTAACAGTTGAAAATATTCTGGCACATTGACTTCACATGTCTGTTGGAATTGTTTTTGTTGCTTTTGGATTGCACATCAGCTCAACTAAACTAATATTCACAATAAATCAAAGATACAATATCATCAACGTGTGTATATCTATTTAAATACTCAGGTGGATCTAGTTACATTGGTTACAGATAATACTAACCTTTTTCGATAAGTTTAAATAAACAACCATTTGTGATGTATTTTTTAACTAATAGACGAAACATCTAGTGTCATATTAATATATATTTCTCAGGTCTTTTTTAATCTATTCGAACTGATCAAGTTCGAGGTTGTTCTTGTCGAATATTTTTCCGATTTCGATTTTTACTATCATACACTTATGGTATTGAATTTACCTCAGAGAAGGTAAATATATAGAATATTCTTACTATAATTTCATACATTCCTCAGTTGGTATCATATTACTATGTAATGCAACTAAGTAAAAATATCGATCCAAAGTGAAAATTCCAATTTAATCAGTGGTTGTTCAGAATTTGAAATGTTTACCAAATGGGTTAGCTAAGCAGTTGTTTGAATAGTCCTGATAACAATAGAGATATATGACTCAGTACTTAGCTGGAGAATAACATAAAATCCGTTGATTTGTAAAGAAACATTCTGTTGGAAACAGCATCAGCTCCGAGTTGGCTTAGTTCATATTGACTGGATTTGTTTATTGGTGCTAAGTTTTATTTGACAGGATTCATTGTATTGCAGTACTCATAGCATTAGTGATTAAACTGGTGAAGTTAAAGGAAGTTTGGTGCATTAAAATGCCAAAACGACTATAGTATGACATAATGAAGTGAAAATGGAATGGTTAGTTATGTATACTTCGATAATATGATAACTTGAGCTGGGCTTATAAAAGTATTAGCGTGATGGAAAATTACTGCCATATTGCGAATTAATCTCGCTATCGGAATGTCAACTTGAGCCGATGGACTTATGTGTCAGGTTCTACGTTGTGTATGCTATTTAGCAGTGATTAACCGTAGTGTCACCTTTTCAGGTTTTAATCAAGAACCATGTATCAATCTATTTATTCTTTTTAAAGGCTTAATACTGTCAATAAAAACTCCCTTTTTTCCAAAAATATGTTTTAGGGTTTGTTAGAGCTCATTGAATGTCCAGTATAGTAGATAATGTTATAAATGAAGTTGAACTAGTTTTTATTTCTATCAGAAACTTATTCATAAAGCAATAAATCAATTGTACAGTTGTTATCTTGGTTTACATAAAACACATCATCAGCCATTTAAATGAACCAAATATTCGGATGGATACATATTTTAAACAGAACTAGAAATCTACTAACTTGGCATCTTATTACTGGATATTTACAGATCCCTATAAGCAACTAGTAAATAATCCAATCACTTTCCTCCCCATTCTTGGTATCTGTCTTACTCCATTAAAATTGTAAATAAAAGGACTTGTTTGCCACAAATGCTCAAACATGAAGTTGAGCTATCCACACAAATTCCGAGTAACACAAATCAACCGTCTACTGACAAAGAGTTATTCATTTCTGCCATTAAATCCTCAAAGCAATTATCTAAACTAATCATGTCATGAATGTGCTTTTCATTCCCATAAAGTATTTAAATTCAATACTTATAAGAAATATATAACTAGTTCTGTAAATAAACTATCAGAGATGCCAATTTCATCTCGAAGTTTTACCTTTTCAATGAAGAACACTCAGATTGGCAATTTAAAATAAGCTCAAGTCGTTTGATTTTTCAAGGCATAATCATATTATGTGATATGTTTGCTAAACTATTTCTTTGTTAAAACATATTCATTAGTTCCTGTTGTAATATTTTTTTAATCAATAAACACTTCCAATAGTAAATGGATTCACGAGAATTTGTCTGTATATATATATATATATATAATGTCACGAGTTTGTCTCATTATTGTTTTTATATATCAAACTACGTAAGTTCTGTCAGTTGTTCCGTGTGACTATGATATTTATCATGTGTTCAGGATATCATATAAAGAATGTACAGGAAACTTTTTGAAATGTTTTCAAATCTTGGGAAGCTATTTTCAAATTTAAATCAATCCATTTTATGTGCGTGCGATTTCACCTTTTCGAAATGGATCCATATAAACGTTTAGAAACTAATACTTTTTATATTCTATATTTAGTATTCATTCGAATTCAGAAATCGTTTAAAGTATGGTGAATTCTTTCTGTGTTAGTTTGATTGTGTTATTGTTAATAGATTTTCCAACGTTTTATCATTTTCTATTGTATAAGTTTGAAGTTAGTTGCTTAGTTTATAGTCAATTCAATCCTCAAGTCATTTGAGAAGATATTTTAAATGGGCTTATATATATCATGAACTGGCTTTGGTTGGGCAACGATTAAGAACCAGGGAGCACTGGACAGATAGATGATAGATAAATAGACACCACTATATTTGGCTGCCACAGAAGATTGATCTATTGACGTAGGCCCCTTAAGTAAATGTATTTCAACAAGCAGCTCAACTAATAAGTAAACATTGATATCTTTGTGACAAATTAACTATAGTCATTCACACTCCAATAAATTAAGCTATAGCTAACAAATTTAACCTCCCACTTCACCTCGTTATAAATGTGCATACATCTGTACACGTTTATCAGTTTTATTATTGTTTTTGTCATCTGAGAAAACACTTGGATGATGATCAGTGAGTCACCCATTCATTTTTTTCCATTCTATTTCTTATCCTTCAGAATAAACATATTGGTGATTATTCAGACCATAGAGACTATCAAAAACCCCATTCGCCTTTGCGTAATAAACCTAGAGAAGCTCATCTAATTGATTTAGATTTAACACCGAGCCAAATCAACCCTCAAAATCTAACCTCTACAATGTTAAGTAAGTTATATAAATGATCTATTCATATATATGCACACCATCTGTCCAAGATAATGAAAACTATTTGTTAAAGCTACTATTTTTCGAAACAGTAGTATTAAACCTAAAAGGAAAAATATCTCAATTATCCGTTCATTCTTGTAACTAAACAATCATTTTATATTTATTCAGATAGTGAATTATTCCGCTCCTGTTTGAGTGATGTGTCAACTACTACGATGTATGGAGATACTGCCATTCCAAACCAACATTTTGGTGAGTTGCTTTTTCACTTTTAAAATCTTAGTTAACTAATATTTACCCGTTTATTATTTTGAAGGTTTTCACAGAAAATACGCTTTGGAATTTCACCATGGAGTGAATAGTATTTGATTTTGATTTTAAATTAAACAAAGAGTCTGCTTTTAATCCCTTATTATAATTTATTAGAATCTGTAATATAGTCAGTTCACTATTCACAGCGACAGGATTGAGATCATGTTTATTATCATTATCTAGTCTCAAATCTTTCTAGTTACCGTCTTACTGACTCATTATCATCTATTTTATTTACCGTGTGAAAATAGAAAATAACAGACCTTCGTAAGTAATACCTGTATTTCTCGTAGATTATCGGCTAATATAATTATTAAATAGTTGAAATGGTAAGTTTTACTTTTTATCAATACTAAGGAATGCTGAATATTTAGATTGATTTCAGTGCTGGTATGTTTTAGAAAATGTTTTTCGTCTAACTGCCATTTCTTGTCTAATTTTCAACTCTGCTTAGCTTCTGTACTAACGCGATGATTGTTTGATAGTATTTCGTTATTTTTTAAATAAAATATGATTTGACCAACTGACTAGTGTCGGAGACGGTTGGAAGAAAGTTAGGACGGCCAAACCAAAACGTGGCGTCAGTCCTTGGTGTCACTAACTTCTGGTCTGAGCCATGTTGGTAGATTTAGATTACTTGGTTGGGCTCCGCGCGACCATCGCAACCAATGGTGGGAGACTGTGGGTGACATCTCTCAGAATCTATCACAGTGGCGTCGGTGTATACACATTTTGTCTTCCCTTAAACCGTGAGATTACAATTGCTTTATTTGTTTCTTTCTGTGAACTAATTGTTTCTTCCTATATTATATCTTTGCACACAATCTTCCTTTTATATATTACTACCATTGAAGTAACTACTTGTATGAATTGGGTGTTGACTTTGTTGTAGCAACTTGGACCGATGCATATATTTACCTGGTCCTACATTATAGCTAATTGATTGATTTGATAATTATTATTTATTATTATTTTTATTTATTTTAACACATAGATATTGGTACAAGGAGGCAACAAATACATATGCGCCACACAAATCTCATTCGATATGTGTGAGGGCTGTGATACTGCCCGGGTGCCGAAACTGAAACAGTTGGTTCTCTTAGGGGGCCACACCCCGAGCCTTTGACCTGAAGAACTGATCCACAAGGCAGCGGAGCATCGTGAGGAGATGCAGTCCTATGGAAGCCGGTAACCAACAATTGGTTCATATGCCATTTGTTCCTGCAGGATACTCGAGCCCATGTGCACCATTGGTTTGGAATCCGATTAAAGCGCCGGACATCCGCTTTTCGTCCTCTCATTTTCGTAAACAACACCCCCACCACGAGAAGGCAGTGAGTAGGACTTCCCTGGCAGAGGCTATATACGCGTGGCCGTGTGAGAGCATTTCGAGAAGGAGAGCGGACTCTCCCCACTCTCGGCCGTACCAGGGCATTAGGGGGCGATTGATTTGATAAACACATTTTTCAGTTTTTTAAAGCTTAAGATATAATGCAAGCCGTCGAATTATGTGTTAGTAATCATTATGATTTATTTCACTTGAAACAATCTGTTAATCTTCTATAACGACAAATAAATGACGTTCACTTTGTTTCCATCCTTCTAAATTACCTCATAATTTCTTTTCTATTGCACTAATCTATATTTTCTTCTAGAATAGTATCTTCTATGCCTAGTCTTTTCTATCATCATTATTATTGTTACTACCTCTACTGATATGGAGTTTACTCTGATAATTTTACTTCACTATACTAACGAGGTGTGATAACTTGAACCGATATACACATGTGTACCAGGTTCTACGTTGCTCACAACTGACTGATCAACTTAATTCTAGTGCACAACAATGTCTGTAACTTTCGGTTTGTATGAATTTTGGCAAATCAGATAATTAATTTTCAGAATCCGCTTCATTTTATGTTTTGTATTAATGTGTTTTCATGGAACTTTTGTTAATTGTAACCATTTTTTTGTTAATAGATCATCTCTACTTACCAAAACCTGATGATTCAGCTCAAGTGGCTACAAAATGTAGTATGTCAGTAAATATACTATGTATAGCTTTTGTAGCCTTTTATGAAGATGAATCTGTATTGACACGTGAACAGATAGCTGAAGGAACTTCATTTTCAGCATCATCATCTAATATGAACTCCTCTGTACATAATTGGCGATCAGATGAAGAGAAGTTATTAAAAAAAGATGATTCACTAGGATTGAATGAACAAGATTCACTAAATGCTGATGAGATAAATGATACAAGTACATTACCAGAACATCAATCACGTAATTATGGTGATAATAAATATTATGGTCATAATAATAACGATAATTCTGCTGGCTCTTACTCTACAACAACTGGTTGTGCAGCGATATTACCAGGGCCATCCATATTTTTTGGACGATTTCATGGTCTCATACCAACTCCAAATTGTCGGTTGAAATCTGATAGTGGTCGCAATCAATTAGATGATAACGAAGACGAGGTAGATATGCTGCATTCTAAGTGTCAACCGATGATTATTAACCGTCAAGATGTAGATACAGGTCGTATGTCTCCTTCGGAATGGGTATCACATTTGAAATATCAATTTTCCAATATGGCTTATCCTCGTGATCATCTATGGTAAGTTTACTGTGTGTACAAAGTTATTCTTTGTTTATGAAACTGAGGAATTATATAATTTGTGGTGAGTTTATCTTTTATGTGGAAGTGTAAATATTTTGGAACATTTAAAAATTACTCAGAACTATAAATCATAATAACCATAATTTTATACCTGCACGAGAAACACAAAACACACTTATCAAACCATATATATTCAAGTAGTTAATATTGTGTGATTAAAGCAACTAAGATTATCCCAAGTTTTATTTTCTGTAAATCCGTCAACACATACTTATTTTGTTAGCATTTGGATACAAAATCTAGCACATATGATTCGCCTTATCATCAACTTTAAGTTAAAATCCAACTATTGTCGGATATCAACATACTCAAACTCTCTTCACACTCCATTTTTGACATAATAATACTTAACTTAGATCCCATTATTCTTTTAACTGAGATTCTTTCAACATACCAGAATCCAAAAGAATAACTACTATTCACAGATTTTGCTATCATCCCATTAGAGTGACTTAATTGGATAATTATACGACCTAGATTGATTATTTATTCATAGGTAATAAGTAATTCACATGAAGATTGCTCCCATCATTTTTAAAAATGAAAACATGTAGTAGTTAAGACGCTCAGATTTAGCTTTTGAGTCCCAGGTTCGAACCCCTTCCTCTCCCATTTTAGTTTGTGCAACCGAATAGTATCATTAGACTTCACAATTAGAGTATGGCTCATACTCAAGTAACTGGTGAATAAATTAATTGTATGTTATAGTACATATTTCCTCCTTTGTCTTGAAAGATTTATCTCAATCGCCTATATGTGAACTAGTTGCATGTGATTTAATCAATGTCCATACGTTCTAGTTTTTCTTTATGGATATATTTATGTTTTTTCCAACACAAAACAAATAAAAACAATGAACGAGAACAGATGAATTTTAATTAATTATTGAAACAGGTGCTGTTTTATTGATTTACCCAAGAGGAGAGATACATTAGTTTATTATAATTTCAATTATTTTAAGAGAAATTCTATAGTTGCGCTGGTTAAATAGTCAATGTGCAATAATTACTTAAAATTTAAAGGGAATTTTCAAATCCATAAAGAGGTGAGAAACGAAAATTGATTTTGTCTGCATTGTGATTTGCTGTCCTCAGACACTTTGATTACATCACAGTGATAGGATGTTATATCTTCGTCTGATCACCTTCTGTGTATTGCTAGCGTAGTCCTATGCTGACCAGCATGCGATGTCATGTCAAACGTTAACTAGGCATGCGTAGTGTATAACTTGGTTAAGATTCACAATATTATCAACCGAATCCATCATCTCTGTTTAGTGTTGTCTCAAGCATTGTCTCAGTACTACCAACCTGATATTTTTAATCTTTGTGAGCAACGGTTTGTAGGTATAAATAATCAAATATTAATTTATGTTTGTTACCCACCTCGCTCATTCTGTTATGACTTCTGTCTCTGTCAATTATCAAATGACAAAATCGCTAATCAGAATACCAACTTCTATGATCTTGTTCCTGTATTAAACCAATGACATGTTAACCACTACTAGCAATCTTGCGTCAACTCTTAATCTTTATTGGCCCTCAATATAGTAGCTTCCCACCTAGACCTGCCCGTTGAGTCCAGAACAGAATATCAGCCTGCGCTGTATGAATAATATATTTCAGACATACGTAGTTTATATACAAGCAGAATAGACCGTATCATACCATAAAATGAAAAAAAAGATTAAACAGAAACAGGCCAAAAGTGGTTGTGAATGTGGGGACTGTAACTAATAGATTGGGAATAAATTAAGAATAGTATATCGTATTATAGTAGCTAAAGGGTCAAATGAAAGCTCATCAGAAAACCAAGAATTTAGATTAAAATCCTTACATTGAGCTAAAATAAACAATCTATATAGAAGTTTTCTAGTCGGATTATCCTTACAATAAATCTGACTTCATTTTATATCATTTGAAAAATAGTTTTGGCTTTATTGACCATAACTATTTTCTAAAATGATTGATCGGTGAGAAGTAGATATTACTAGGCATCAAACTACTAAACTATATAATATGACTCAGAATCGATAACATTGACACTGAAGCATTCCTTCTTTGTCTACCCTTCGATTCCTTTGTTTTTTAAAAATAATCTCATACCCTTGTTTAATCTGCAATTTGATTCTCTCTTCTTGGATCGTATTCTCAATACTTAATGTTTTGTATTATCAATTGTTTTGGTAGTCATCTTGATAATTTCATTTGGTTTTGCTGATATAATATGACAACTTAAACCAATGCATGTATATGCCAAGTTCTACATCGTTAATGACTAAATTCTTTATCCATTCTGTAAACTTGATATTAAATACTCATTTTTAATTATTCATGGTTTATTCAGATCTAACTGTCTCTATTGATTAATGAGTTTAGTTTAATGGATTTATACATGTATCTGACTTCTAATTAGTCGTATTACTCTAAATGATGATAAGTAGTTATGAAATTCTTATAATTCAGAAAAAAAAATTAATAATTATTATTGTAAATCACTTATTGTACAGTACATAACATTTATTCAAATCAATAATCTCTTTTACTCTTTTATGTGATACTGACAAAAATTCATTACTGTATGATATTTGGCATTTCTAATGATCTGTTTCAGAGGATTTCATTCAATTAGTTCCCTTTATGAATTTAAATAAAGCCAGAACAAACATTGATGCAGAATAATATGAATTCATTATATTTCTAATACATATTTAGTTGTAAGCAGCTGACGAGAAACCACGAATTCATACTATTCTGCATCAATATTTGTTCTGGCTTTATTCAAAAGATTTCAAACATTTTTTATTCATATGGACCCTTGACACTGTTATAAGTTGCTTTTCTATGCATTTTCATATTTAGTAAATTGCATGTGACATTAAACTTTAATACGTGTTTTTTATTCTTTTTCTAAAGTTTATTGACAATGCAATCACATTTTATATCCGTCTTATTTAACATGATCTTTTATATCTCTTTTTATTCTTGATGTGATTGACTGTTTTTTTCATTTCAGTTTTAGTTTACTTGTCTCACGAAAATAATTATTTAACTCAGTAATTATATTTTGAATTAGTTATTGGTAAGGAATATAGATTATAATTTTAAAGCATTAGTTGTCAATTTCAAAATGCATTATGCTTTTTTTCCATATGTAACGGTATAACTAACACAAGTTCATATTGCATATGTTGCATTTAAGTCTTCGTAAAAAAATTCAGTGATTACCGTCAGATGAAAATCTCGAAAATGATTATCATTAAATAAAGTTCAAATTGATGTTATTATGCTAGATACGTAATTTACTTCTATCTTAATAATTTTCTTGATGATGTCATGTGGATGATTTCTACCAGAGTAATTAGCATTGAATAAAGTTGGATACGAAATTAGACCCGTGTTCAATCCGAACCAGTTGTAAATGATTAAACATAGTATATTTATCTGGTAATGGTAGATTATTCATCTAAATTCATCGTTGCTGAGTGGACGTAACTCATGATTTTATAAAGCTTTCATCATCAACAGTCCATTGCATTTACCAAGCAAATTGGGTTTGAACACACATATGTATAAGTTCAACTGACTATAAGAGCATTAAATTAATGATTGAATCATTTTAGATTGTAGGTTTGAAACTGCGCTTCATCTATTTCGGTTTAGCGCAAAGTTGTGTACATAAACCTGTACTCGATAAATGAGTTATATGCTTTTTTCTTTATGAATGTGCACAGAATAACAATATTTCTTAGTATCTCAGTCCTACAGTAGTATTACACCTCATTTTATTCCATGTTGAAGTGCGTTCCTTAGTACAGCATAGTAATCTTACGGAACATCACAAAATTCCAATAAAAGTTTACTCAGCATTGAATAAATTAGTAGATATGTATTACCCTTAGTTTTATTTCTTTCCAATATTTTTACACTATGCACCATACAGCAAGTAAGTAGTACGTGATTTTGAAAGACCAACAATGACACTAACTACCTAAATCTATATAGATTAAAAAGGCACACAAACAATCTCAAAACTTCACTTTTCTAGCTCTCATACAATTACTAAGCAACAAAAAAAAGAAATAACAACGGTGATAATATATCTACTTTTCTAACAATATCTACTCGTAACTGACATATACAACTGCTGTATATACTCGAAAAATTGATAAGAATCTAGAAAATTTCCTGATATTACTTGTAGAATGAATTATGGTAGGTACTAGTTACATATCTTTTTGAGATCCATTCTAAAAGAAAATTTCATCAGTTTTTGGTGTGTTAGACTTACTTTCTTAAAGTATTTATTGAGCACTCAGTCATTATCTGATCAGTTTTATAGAAATTATCAAAAGTCTTATAAATCCATTTCAAACTGAACAAAAAAATGCATTTTCAACAGATTAAATAGTTTTACAAGTCGATTTTTCTAGAGAAAGAATTTAATTTATTACTATTTTAACGATTAATTCATTATAATAAGGTGACTGATTATGCTTGTTTTGTTATGATATTGATTTATTTTCCAATGTTTAACGTTGAATAAATTCATCATGTCTCTTCTTATTGTTTATACTTCAACTGGGGTTGGGGGGTATTAATAATACTCACTAACTAACTGGTTGGTTGACTAATAAATGCGGGTCGTATTCTATTATTAATCGCCAGCGTAACTAATTCTATTCTAATTTCATCTGTGTACATGTTTTCGGAATTTTGCATCTATAAAATGTTATTTTTGGAATGCCTATGATACTGTTAATAAATATTCATGGTAATAATAACAATATTTCTCATCGGCTTATATCAAGCTTTCGTACTGATTTTCAGTTCATTAAATAAATACTGAACCTTTTGAAGATTTGTAACTTGATTACATGAATGAAACAAGATCATCCTTTGTTATGTTGCGTTTGCTTGGTGAAAGGATTATTTTAC